GCTTGAGAGGAAGTTCTGTTGAACTTGATAGGACTTACTTCTGAGTAAAACATAAAATGACACTCAGGGAGAGAAATCTCTCAGTGAATATGTATCTTCTTTCTGAAAACCATGAAAATGATTTGACAAAATCTTTGTTTACTCCTAAATAGTTACATGAAGTGGTAAACTATAATTTGCTAAGTCATCATAGACAAAGTGGATTATTAAAGGTAGTTCCAGGGCAATTTAATACTTTGTTAAATTATTTCTAATTATCTGGCCCCTTATTTTTGCATATTCATGAAAATGGACAATAGATTATTCCCTTAGTCTCTGACATATAGTATCCCTTCATTTATTTCTGCAAATTGTAAAAGGCTAACTTAGACTGGTTCTTGCAAAGATGGAACGAAACAAAATGCCAATAAATCCTTAACAACGGTTGGGTAAAGAAATAGGTTTAGTGATAGGGAAAAATTAATTCCTATTGCTAATCACATAACTCTGAATCTTAGCAGTCTAGAGCTGTAATTATCTGAACCCATTTGAATTGGGGTATTGGCTGGTATCCAAGACTGAGAATACTTCAGTGGGTGACTGATTACAGGCAGTGGATCAAATGGAATGTGACAGTCTTCATTTTTCTGGACCTGTTGGGGGCTTTTACTACCTTCAGCCATGGTATAATTCTGGACCTTCTGGTGGGGTCCAGAAGGTCCAGAGAATGATTCGTAATGGTTTTGGTCCTTTCTGTTGGGTCAAATGCATGTTATGCTCAATTGCTTATGGCATCACACAGTATTCTCTTCTTTCCCCCATATTATTTAATCTCTACAAGAAGCCATTTGGAACTTTGACATAAAATGCTATCAATATGCTGATGACATCCAGCTGTATTGCTTCCTCTTACTAATACCAAGAAAGCAGTTGATGCCCTGGAATTCTTGCCTGGATCTGATAATGGACTGAATGAGGATAAACCAGCTGAAGTTCAGTCCAGACAAAATGAAGGGGCAGGTGAACAGTAGAAAGCCTAACTTGGGGCTGGTCTCTGAAATATCAGGTCCATAGTCTCCTGATCCTATGCTCTCCCTTAATCTTCCACTGGTAGTAATGTTAAGAAGTACCCTTATGCTGTTCGTTTATTCAGTTTACAAGATTAAATACCATTCTACATCCATAAAATATCCATATACTGAATCATAAAAAGGAGACTAACAACAGCAGCAGCAACTCATGATACACCAACTGCAACCTTTCATGAGTCCATCTGGGTTAACAATAACTATCCTTGGGATATCACATCATGTTTATTGCAGTGTGCTCTATCTTTGAAGAGGGCCCAAGAAACTTGATTTGGTGCAAAATGCAGCAGCTAGTCAGGTAACCAAGGTATAATTTCAAAACCATATTATGAAAATAATGAAAGACTTGCAGTGGTTGCCAATGTTTTTCCAGGAACAGTTCAAGTTTTTAAATAAGTAAGTAAGTAAGTAAGTTCAGTTGGCTAGCCTTTAATGTTCTAAACAACATAGGCCTGGTTATTGCAAAAGTGCACCTCTCTCTTTACAAGGTATATGGTAAACAAAAGAGGCCATCCTGAAGACAACACTGCCCACAGTGGCCCATTTATTAGGCATGTAAGAAAGTACTCATTCCTGTGCCACTTCCAAAGTATGGAATGCTCTTCCTCCAGAATTAGAACTGACTTGTACCTTTCTTTGCTTTCAGAAAAGGTGTTAAGACACATCACTTCAACCTAGCTTTTAAAAAATGAGTGTGCTATCATTTTAATATTTTTTAATGGTTCGAAATTTATTTTATGGCTTTTATTCTGTTTTAAACAGGTTACATTGATAGCATCTGAATTTCTGGGCTAAGATAATGTGAAGCTATTCACCTAGTCTTAAATCTAAGCAGTATGTGAGTGTGAAGGTGGGCACATTTGCCTCTTCCTTCAAACTTCCTCCTGACAATTTGCTTGCAAAATTAGGCATACTTCATGATATGCCCTTTAAGACTTCCATTGTGCACTTCCAGGATACTTTAAGCTGTTATGGGTTCTTACACTTGCATAGCTTAGTGTCCTTGGTGGGGTGATTGAGGCAGCAGGAAGTGTTTTTCCTACAGTTCTAAATAGCTCCTCTTAGATTCCACTTTGGCATGGTCAGAACTCTTTAAAAGCCTTAAGCACTCCAGAGTGGAGCAGGTGGGTGAGGAGGAAAATAAGATTAGAAGTAGTACCTCATTGGTGAGAATCTTCCAATCCTATTTCTCTTTTCTAGGATATTGTAAATTCACTGGGCCCAGTTTCTCAATAATAATAATAATAATAATAATAATAATAATAATAATAATAATAATACAATGCACACCTTTAATGTTCCTTTCCTCCATGAGGGCAATGAGTATGCTCAGTCCTTATCAGATTTTGATTGGCTTCTCTTTTTTAAAAACAAATAATGAGTTCAACCTATTTGGAGAGCTCCCCGCCACCACTTTCAATGTGCAGAAACATTACCTGTCTGCAGATGGGCCTGTTTCCTACAGATAACTATAAATATTGCTATTAGGAGGAAGAACACAGCACCTGTAACATTAGATTGCAATTTATTTAAACATTTCTGTACATGGTTCTAACCCATCTGGAGTACAAACTGAGTGATTCAGTTTGATAGGAGGGAAAGAAAAGGGGCATACTTATTTTCTGTCCTATTGCACTCAAGTGATGAGCCCTGAACCTAAGTCCTTTATTTTTATATATTTATTCAAATAGTATGCATGAATGCGTGATTGGGGTGGAGGTTGTTCTGGAGACTGGGGTATTAAAAAGCTGTTGTCCCCCTTTCCTTCTGAAACTTCTCTGCATATGGAGAGGAAGCAAATTTTTTAATCACATGGCTAACAACCTCCTTGACCCTAATCCTCCCTCTCACATAATACAATAAGCTATTAGGGACTTGAGATGGCTAATTGCTCCTGCTCCCTTTTTATTAACTGATGCTTACTTTTCTTAATAGTCAATGAATCCTGGTGCCCATTTGAACCTTCGCAGCCTTCATTTATGTTATTTGTAATGGGCCATTATTTTTCTATGTTACTCATTCTACACCCTTTCCCAACTCCTGCGCTGTTTTTGTTGATTAATAGACTGTAAAAATGTATATCCTGCCCTTTTGCAGCAAGAAAATTCTTAAGATATGAATACCTTGAAAATAACCGGAAACATTTTAGTTGAATGGGTTTTTCCATTGAAATACTTTTCCATTGGAAAGGGGGATGAACAGTTTCAGTTCTGGAATTTTTAAAATTCTAGAATAAGTAAAATTCTTCTTTAAGACAAGTTTTATTTCTTAAGTATGATGGCTATTAAGAGAGATTCCTGGCAGTCACTGGAATTCTGCCCTTCCAAGAGTGCTTCAAATGTATGAAAGGGAAAATCCTGGCACTGTGTCCTTCTGTACCACATACGGCTTACTTTGCTGTCTGCCAAGGAAAGTAGGAGTGAGCATGGGTCTTGTTGCTTGTCCATTTGCCCAGTTCTCCTTTGCTTCTGCTTTGGTAAACAACCTATGAATACTTCAAAATGATGCAGTCCAAAACATCTGGAACGTAACTCCTAACATTCCTCATCATTGACCATGCTACCTGGGGTGGATGGGAAGGAAAACTTCAAACTTTGGAAGGCCACCAGGTTGGGTAAGGCTGATCAGATAATTTCTGTGTACATTGTAGACATATACACCACTCAAATCCAAAATGTATTTCTGTACTTAGATGGTAGTGCCATCTTCATGAGAAGAACAAATGTGACCTTTCTTGAATGTGAATTGTTGCTCATTACCTTTACCTGGTAATGCTGAGCTAGTTCGGAGATACTAAAAGCAAGTAGCATGCATTTGTTGTCCCACTGACCTGGTCCTTCCCTTGTAACACAATCTTTTTTGTCATTTACCACAAATACCTGTAGTGTAAACACCATTTACAGATTGGGAAGCAATCTCTCCCTTGCTGGAGAATATCAAGGTTAGAAAGAGATGGGCCAGAAACAGACCTAATGTGGATACAAAAGCCTCAGGAAATACCTGGAAGTTTTAATAAAATCAAGCTCAGTGCAGAACTGGCAGATGGAGGTAGACTATATCTAGCCGGATGTGCCAAGCAATTGTGTATAACAATTTTTATGCATATGCTCAGTATTACAGTTCTACATGCCAGACTATAAATAACGTCTCTTAAGTTGTTAATGAAGTAAAATGGATTTAGATTATATAAAAAGTACTTCACATATTTGAGTCCTTCCCTCTATTACCATATTTTTTTGTTTTGTTTGTTGTGGGGTGTAAAGAGTCCCTGACCCTTTGTTGCTTCAAAATTCCTGAAGAATTCTACATCTCTGGCAGAGGGCATTGTGCAAGATGGCAACTACCTTGGACATCCATGAATTATAAATGTTTATATTATTCTGCAACTTGTCTGATAAGTTACAGTTTTCCCTCATAGTTTTCCCTTTAAAACTTATTGGGTGGACCCAAATCTAAGCTAGTTGTGCTTATTTCCAGATGAAATCTTATGTCATAACCAGTGACCCATTGACTTCAATATGACCAAGGTTCAGCCAACTTAGCCCTGTATCTTTTATAATAATAAAATGATATGTCTGATATGTTGGTGTGAGAAGTAATTTCATTTCTGGAACGGTTAAGTAATATCAGGCCCTGTATATAAATTGTTCAGTTAGGATTGTTTAATGATTTTGTAATTAGATAAGTATTTGCTTTTGTAAAAGAAGGTTGAAAATGAGAGATGCCAGTTTTATTGGGCTTTTACAACTTGGCTTGAAATGTTGTTTCTTTAACTTGTTAATTCTTTTGTTTCTTTGTATTTATGTTAGATTATTGGAGAGTTAAGTGTTTTTAAACTTAAATTTAAAAATTCACATAAAATGTTGGCATCCATATTTTCTGCAAAGATTAGTCAAATATTTCAAATGTTCTTCTGTTTTACTCCATTTCTAGACTGCTTGTTTCCGAGAAGAGAGAGACGTTTTGGTGAATGGAGATTGCCAGTGGATCACTACATTGCACTATGCCTTTCAGGATGAAAATTATTTGGTATGTGTAAACAGTAAGCCTTTATAAAGAAGTGGGTCTTAACACCTGCTTCCTTAGATAACTTGAGAATTTAGAACATCATCTATTTGTCTCCTTGTTCCTTCAATTTGGAAGAAAAATATACTTCCAGTATAATTCATATACAAATTATTCTATTTTTCTCCGTAGATATGTTGATTTTCCATAAAGTGTAATAAACTAGATTGACATAAATCAAATCAATAATAGTTTTGTTAAATAATTGTTCAGTAAATTTATTGTTGGCCCAGTAGTCACATGCTTTTTGTGCTAGTTTGTGAGTCTGTTATCTCCTCTAAGAGGCTTTTGCTTATGGGCCATATGATCAAATATAGTGATTCTCAACCCTTTTTGCTTGGAAAATTATGGGCAACCTATTGGGGATGGAAGGAGCAACAAGGCAAGGATCACCTTTTTGCTTCTCTCAACCCACAAAACACTGAGATGGCCTATCTCTGCTAAATGTTTTGTCTTAATTGTAGAAAGGAGAGAAGGGGACCCATCACTTCACCCCTCTCTGCCTCCCCTCACACCCTAGAACATCCCCAAAATCTGGCTCTGAGGTCAGTCTTCGGAGCTGCAGCCAGTGTGGAAAGGACCACATCAACTGCGAGGATGGAGGGTGGACACTCTGAGTTTGGAGTTTCAGCTCTGACCTTGGAATGCATTTCTGAGAACAGAACTATCTAGCTTTCACCCTGAAGTGTTTTAATTTTTATACTGTCTGATTATTATTTTGTAGAGAGAAACAAGCTTTGGTTTTTGAAAACTATTTCCATGCTGATCAACGTATGGTTTGAAGACAGGAAAGCACTGGGAAAATTAACACATTTAAATGAAATCAAATGAGACAAAATACATCCCAGAAAGCATTCTCAGCAATTTTAACTGAAAGAGAAACCTCAGGGTCTGCTGTGACAAGCTGTCAGTATCCAAGTCTCTTGGCTGACCTACATTCTCAAACAGTTTCTCTTGCAAGTTAACTGTCTGTCAAGAACTGATGACACCAAACTTCTCAGCAGTGTCTCAAAGGCGTTATTTCTTTAACTTAAGGATAAGTAGGTAGCCATAGCTTTAGGGATCTATTTTCATAGCATAATATTGCTTCTTAATTTCCAATGAGTTACCTAGCTAATGTATTAAATCAGTAAAAAGATAGCGTATAGCTAATTGTGGCCAAAATTCACTCATGTATATGGTAATTTAGGTTTTAACACTGTAGTTCCTAATGTATGTATATATGCCCCACATTCAGGGGTTCTTGTCAAAGTGTTGAGGAGTCTTAGACTGCTTAGCATTACTAGGTTTTTTGCTTCACACAGCCAGTGATCTGAGACCATATTGTTTGCACTTTCCCATTCTTAAATTCCACTGAAGGAGACTTTTGGGGTAGATTGTGCTTAGTATAGTAACTGACTAGATGGTAACTTAAATAACATAAATTTCCACTGTACTTTAAAAGTATTCCTTAATGGTTAGGATTAAAAAAATACTTAAAGACAGCAGGTCCAGAAGGACAGCCTGTTTGACTCCAGTTTCTGCTTCCATTTCTTGTGCTGTCATCCTATAGTTAATGGGTATAAGTGATTATGACTTTTTTCCATTGATTTTTAACTATACTATGCCTTTTTTTTACTAGTACTTAGTAATGGACTACTATGTGGGTGGTGATTTGTTGACATTACTTAGCAAGTTTGAAGACAAGCTTCCAGAAGACATGGCCAGGTTCTACATTGGTGAAATGGTTCTTGCTATACATTCCATTCATCAGCTCCATTATGTGCACAGGTAAACAAGCTATCTTATAATCACTCTGAGAACGTCATTGTAGTGCAGCCTACAAATGCCATAAGTGAATTTAAAAATAAAGACTTGTATGTATGTAATTAATTTCTATATTGTCCATTAGTCAAGATATCTCTCTGGGCAGACAGTCTCCTATTTTGAAAACAGGAGCTGGTAGGACCTGTAACAAAATGCTGTTTCAGTGCATCTCCATTCCTTAAAAAGAGGTTCTGCTCAGGGTTCCAGACAGCAAGTTATACCTTTCTCCAGAAAACTATAACTTGTTAGGGGACTCAGACAAGCCAGTCCCCTCCTTCTATCCCATCCTTTCCCGAGGATGGCAACATGTCAGAGGGTTTCCCACCCACAGCATATTTTCTTGTCTTGTTCTCAGAGATCCTAAGGACAGCTCCAGGTCCAACCTTGTGACCTCCACAGGAACCGCAGAACCTAATTTGAATGTCTGTAAACCCCTCCTCCCCCATTTCTTGGTGTTCTGGACATGGAGATACTGAGACTTTATCAACAAGTCAGCCCTCTTCCCCACTTCCTGTAACACCTTGTCTGTTCAAGAGAACTGAAGGCTTGCACATTGTTATAGAAACATAGAAACAGAGCGAGTCAGAAGCGGCCTCCTGGGCCATCTAGTCTGACCCCCGGCTCCAGCCAGCTCCGCTCATGATATGCCCACCATGTGCGTGTCAATGCACATGATCTTTTGGTTGGTCTAATAAAAGTATTATATTAATATGGATTATGATAATACGGAAAAATGTTACTATATATACAGTTAGGTCCTGCAGCAAAATGTTGCAGTGGGTATTCAACCCTCCAATGAGGATTGTTTCTCAGTGTTTCAAGCGCTAATACCTGTCCAAGATGAGTTCAAGAAAGAAATTCATAAACGTACCTCTGGATTTTATACACACACTTGCCAAGAATGCCAATCTTTTTAACTATTTTGATTGGATTGTTCTTTAACCAACACATAGTAGCATTTGAAACAAAAATCAATGTAGAAATGGAAGAAATCAAACTGGACGGAACCAGAAATGCCAAGTTATTTAGTGTAGCTATCTCTTAATGTGTGTCAATATATCATTAGTGAGCAAAGATGCTTAAATGATATGTAACTGGAAGTTAAATAAAAAATAGAACATATGTTTGTCAGTGACATAGTTATTTACATTTTAAAACATAGTAATTAATTTTATTCAGTCTCTGTGTTTGAAGACTACAGTTCTGTCTCCATTCACTAGGTAGTAGGCATCCCTAACCAGAGCATAGTAATATAGTCAACCAAGTTTGAAGACAAGGGGAAATACTCAAAGGGATCAGGTTATAGAACTGTCCTCTCCTCTTTGCTGTAAAACAGACCCCATTGGGGTGGACAGATCTCTTCCTCAAGGGTCTACAGGAGTTGTAGCTTTGCTGTATGAAGCTATGGGTTATCCCAGTTCATACAAAGTTACATCTGTTCACTTGAATGTTGTATAAATAGAATTTTCTACAGGTGTCAAGGCTACTTTTTGTAGGTGATTGAATCTCAACTCCCATTTGGTGACTGCCCCCATTTTAGATTATTTTATAGGACTGTAATCTGTATGAAGTTATTCCAGAAACACCTTTCAGGTTGGGGTGCAAGAGGCAGTTGTATTAGCAGATCCTTGATCAATTTTAACATACCAATCATTTTCTCATTAATGTAATGTTTAGCTTTTAGTGACATTTCTAAACTACCTTAAGATTCACTTGAGGGGTTTTTGTCTTGCTTAGAGCTAACTAGAAAATTCAGCATTTCAAACCAGCTTTTCTAAGTAGACAAGTGTGGTAACATGTCATCAGAGAAAGAAAATCAGCAGCATAATATATTACACTAGGTAGCTATCTAAAATGTTGCTACCTACTTAAGTGCATAAAATTTTACTGAGAAGAACCTTATTTTGACTCTTAAATACTTAAATGGCAGCTGTGGTGGAAGGCAGTACTGTCTATAGATACAAGCGATGTACTCCTGTTTCAGGTTTCTAATAGTTAATCACATTCCTTTTATTACTGTGAGAGGAAATGGAAGGCCTAGTACACACTGTACATTTCTATTCTTGGATTGCTCTTAAAAATGCTTATTCCAGAAGAACCTTTGGTAAACAGAAGTACCTGCCCATTGAGAACTGGGAATGAATTCTTTCTGAAAGAGCCATCCCTAAAGGAAGTAAAAAGGATGGTGTTTAGAAGAAGGGCCTTCTCAGCAACTGCCCCCATCTTTGGAATGGGCTTCCTAAAGAGATTCTCCTGGCACCATCACCATTTTCATTCTGGCACCAGGCAAAAATGGTCCTCTTTTGAAAGTATTCTGAAACCTGATTTTAACACCTGTACAAGTTCATTCAGCTACCGACAGGTTCTCCCCTCCCCGCCCTGCATATAATTGTACTGTTGGTCTGTTTTTGATGTTGTCAGCTGCTTAGAGAGCCCTTAAAGGGCAATTTAGCAGCCTATAAATTTGAAAATAAAATAGATAAAACTAAATGATAAAAGTCCATATACAATGAAAATTGACCAGTTCAAATCTTGATAGTATTCCCCACACAGTAACTCTGGTATTTCTTCAACTTGGAGCAGAATTGAAGTAGCATAGTACAGGAAACCTTAACAATACTTTAAACTTTGACCTTCTACTTCAGTCTACTATCTTATAAATTCTGTCATGAACTATGGACAAGCATACACCTGGTTTCTTAAGCAAGGGCTGTAAAAATCAATAATGCAGATGTATCAAAACCCTACAATGAGTATTCAAGCTGTGGATAATTTGTCTGTTTTGCTATATGTAATTAACAGTTTCCCATGAAACTGTCAGTTTGGGTATATCTCTAACCCAAGTTAGAAGACAAAGTTCCCAGAAATTACTGCATAGTCCTTAAGCAGGGAGCTCAGTGCTAATAGGTGGCATTCAAACAAATTTAATAAATAAACAAATTAGCAGGTTACAGTGATTCAATTAAACTAAGTGGGAATTAGAAACTGTTAGAACAGTGCAGTCACCAAGCAACATCAAAACCCAAACAGAGTAATTCTTCCCAGTTGCTATCAATGACTGAGGAATAGTTTCATGAACTGTGAAATCTTACACTGTTATAAAGCTGTCTTTGCATTTTTCTTTTCAGTAAGTAACAATACTCATAAATGAAGATATTATATGCAGTACATGGAACATTAGGCTGTGCTTATCTGCTCTGAGGGGGAAACAGGGTGTCAGATCATTATCAATGCATGATTGTAACTTCTTAGCCAGGCCACCATCCTTTTTATTTATCTGTGTTTGATTTGCTGTTTTGCTTATTGTTACTTCATATTATTCACCATAAAGATGTTTACCTCCCCATTCCATATCCCATTTCTTAGGGTGTTTGTAGTCTTTTTTATGCATCCCATTCTTTCATAAATGTATGCACAAATTATGTTATAGCCTCTGTTTCAGCACTGTAAAGAACTCACAACCCAGTTAAAAATAAACCCAGTCTTTTGGCAGCTCTTGAACTCTCCAATTTGTCTTAATAGCTAGTCTTAAGATTATTTTTATTTCAGTTGCAAATCTGAAGGAGCCAGATGTTTTAAGCATGGTGTTGGTTGACACATTTTAAATCCTCAGTAGTATTTTAAAAATGTAATGAATCATATTTTGTATTTATAGTGAAGTAACCTGAATGCTCCAGTAGAGTAAAATGTATGAATTGTTTTTTCGCTTTTTTACTTAACTGCTCAGTAAATTTAGTGATTTGACTTAGCATGTGAATAGTGTGAAAATAATACATTTCTTTTCACATCAGAGATATAAAACCGGATAATGTTTTGCTGGATGTGAATGGCCATATACGCCTGGCAGACTTTGGCTCATGTTTGAAGATGAGTGAGGATGGCACTGTATGTATCAATTCAATTTTAGATCAGTTCTTTGATATAGGGATACTTAAATTGTTAAATCATAATTGTTTTATGTTAACATTTGGAAAATATAGGACATAATTCTTAGGCTACGATAGAAGCATTACATGTGTGAAGAGACATGGTGATAGTATTTTGTGATGTATCATTTTTTCTCTTGGGTGTTACACTGAAGCTGGCTATGTTGGGTATATGATATTCCATGCACAACAAGTGTCGCCTTGCATTTCCTCATAATCTGCAAAAAGTTCAAGTCCAATTAAGTCAGTCTCTCTTTATGCCTAACGAAGTAACAGATCTCATTGTGGTTGTGATGGCAATATTTATTTGTTTATTTTATATACTGCCGGATAGCTGAAGCTGTGTTGGTAGTTAACTACAGTTTTTAGTTGCTAAAGTCCATAAAAATTAGTGTGTATGGTATGTAAGATTTTTTTAAGGGGGGTAGCTTTTGCAGCCTCGTTTTTCAGCAAACTGTAGATTACTATGCTTTGTGTCAACTTACCATTTTAATAAACTGAACTATTACAGTTTTAGCTTCAGAAAACTGTAGGTCTCTTAGGAAAAAAAAAGATGTTTGCCTTATACCAAGTCTGACTATTGGTTGATCTATCCCTGTATTGTCTATATCAATCTTCCCTCACTTGGTGTGCTCGATATACTTTTTGGACTGTGGCTTCCATCAGCCTCAGACAGCATGCCCAGTGGTCAAGAATGCTAGGACTTTAGTCCAAAGCATTAGGAGGGCACTAGGATGGGAAAATCTGGTCGAGATCAAGTGGGCAATAGCGCTCTACAATTTCAGGCACATGTTTTCTCAGCACTTACTGCCAATGATGAGGAGCAAACCTAGCGCTTTTCTTCATCCAGCATTTTTATATTTCCACATCTACAGCTTATGCATTTTTAATTTATGGGTTCACTGGCCCCTGCATATCAAGGCAGATCTCTCCCTCTCCTCCTCCCGCTCATATGTGTACGTACATGTACCTGTCAAGCACCACTGTCATGCCACCAGGTGAGCCACATGCTCTTGCCTGAGGCACACTGTATGTGATCTCCTCCAGGATGCTTTTCCAAGGGGGTAGGCAGCCTTCCATGTGGGGTGGACATTGTGCTGTCAGGTACCACAGTTCAAAGCCATGCAGAGGAATTTCAGGAAGCAGTGGTCCTTCTATGTCCACCTAAGAGAAAGACTGAGGGTGCTCCTTTTGAATGCTGTCACCCAGAACTTATCGGTGCCACTGTATACAGGAACTTATAGGTGTTCCCTAAAGTATACAGAGCTACTTCAGGGAGCTGTGTCAGTGTCTCCACACCTTTTGGGCTCTGAAGACCAGGTGATCTGGGTGGCTATACTTTTATCTCAGGGGCAAAGAAATCTGTGGTTTATAGTACTTTCATGATATCAAAATAATTACCATTTTTGCAAGTGCTCCCCTATCTTGGTGTATTGGGCAGACATGTGAAGGCCTGAAGACTATTCTAGATATTTCCATGTAGAGAAACTTGAAAGTCCAAACTGGGCTGTAGTGTTGAAGTGGGGATGAGATGAGACAATCCCTTTCTGCTTATGTTTCTCAGGATCCAAGCACTTATATTTTGTTATTCAGGAAAGCATAACCTGTTGTCTGTACCTCAGTGGCCTAGGTTAAGGCTAATGCACTGTATCAGAATAATTTCAACTAAAAGTTGACGTTTGTTTTACTTCAAAGGTGCAATCATCAGTTGCAGTGGGCACACCTGATTATATTTCCCCGGAGATATTGCAAGCAATGGAGGATGGCATGGGAAAATATGGACCTGAATGTGACTGGTGGTCCCTAGGTGTCTGCATGTATGAAATGTTGTATGGTGAAACACCTTTTTATGCAGAGTCACTGGTGGAAACCTATGGGAAGATTATGAATCATGAAGTAAGAGCTATTAAACTATGCATTCACTAAAATGCTCACTTCACTTATATGGAAAATGCCTCTTTAAGAGGGCAACTCAATACATACTAAGATAGAAAAAAGTCCTACAACTCACCTTCCTTGTACAAAATACCACAGCTCAGTGGCTGATTTTCAGTATGGCTGTCTGAAGTCTTGTCAGATTTTTGCTATGATACGGTAAAGATGTAGTTGGTCCACCATTTCTGAAAGACCATTTGTTCAAGCCGTTGTAGCCATCCTAATTTGGCCCATGGCAAATATTACCATCCCTAATTCTGCAGTAGCTAAGATTTGTACTCTCAAGTCTACCTCATTGTATGGCTGCCAATAGGCAGTTGACTTCACTATCCTGCCACCATTTTGGGTCTTGCTCTGATTGGTAGACCTCTTGGTTCTAACTGAAATACAAATCAATTCATGCAAGCCCAAGGTCTACTTATCCCTGATGTATGGAGCAATTGGCTGGTGGGGGCATACGTTCTGAAGAAAAAAATGGAAACTAGCTCTCTATTTTCTAAGCCCTTCTCCATAATGCTATATAGCAAAGGAGGGGTGGAGCAGGTTGCACGTGGAAGCGTGCTCCGTGGAAATGCTGCCTACTTATGCACAGATGTGCTTTTATTATATTACAGCTGGCTAGTTAAAATAATTTTGGGCTACCAAGCCTGGAAGGTATTTGTTGCTATAATTTAGTTTCCATTGTATTCTAACTTAAACTAATCATATTTACAGTTACATAAGAGCATATAGAATTATATATCCATATTATGTAGTAGAAAATCTTTATTTCAGTTTTCTTTTTCTGTTTGTTTTAGGAAAGATTCCAGTTTCCATCACATGTTACTGATGTATCAGAAGAAGCAAAAGACCTAATCCAGCGGCTAATCTGCAGCAGGGAGCGTCGTCTGGGGCAGAATGGAATAGAAGATTTCAAATCACATGCATTTTTTGAAGGACTCAATTGGGATAATATCCGAAATTTAGAAGCACCTTATATTCCAGAAGTTAGCAGTCCTTCAGACACATCAAACTTTGATGTTGATGATGATGTATTAAGAAACCCTGTGAGTGAGTCTTCTTTCCTCCTCTGCAGGATTAGGCAGTGGTTTTCACATTTGCTCCTTGTGCTAAACCTTATGTTGACTACTCTGTCACAGAACCACTGGGTCTCATCTTTGCCCAGCAAGAAGTGAGTGCCCTTGGGAACCCATTCAATGCTGTCCTTTTCAGAGATGATCAGAAAGTCCTTCAGATAAACTTGTCTGACATTTAATTGAAATTTTCTAAGATATCTTAGTATAGTTTGAAAACCACTGATATAAAATTAATGCATGAGGTATTTTCACTTTAACTAAAGAAATCTGTACAATTCCATTTAGGTAAATAGCATTTCTTTAATTTTAGTCCATTTCACATACTGTTAGCATGTACAAATTGCTTGGATGAACAGGTTGTCCTGATCTGCTTCCATCACAAGTTCTGATCGTAAAGGCAGCACTGAATGCATGGCCCTGAAAGGACAGGGACGGTGATGCAGCCTTGTTCCCCATTTAGCTATACCTGGTATCTGGGATTAATGTGAAAAAAGTACATGTCTGATAAAAGTAACTGTTGGAAGAGAAATCTATCAATGGCTGCTAATTATACTTGTTATTTTTAAAAACAAAATGAAATCAACCTTATTTTTAGAAGTTAATGATTATAGATGTTTGATAAAAGCTGTAAATGCTGTGTTTCTCTTAAATAATAACTAGGATAATAATTTAGAAACGTGGATGTTAATATCTAAATAAAAATAAAATAAATTTTCAATTGAATGAATGCATCATCCAGATATATTGGGTAGTACTGAAAATTGCCCAGGCACCAGTGGTACCTCCCACTAGTACAATGGAAAGCCAGCAATTCCTGAAATTCCCCTTCTGCTTACTTCCAGGTTAAGTCAGCAGAGCTTGCAGAAGGAAGGTCCATTGAGCTGTCCCATTTCCAGAGTTGTTTTAGGAAGCAGTAGTTCCCATTGCACTATGGTTGTTTCTCCTGGCACAAGGGAACTAGTGGAAGTAAAGTGGCTGTACTGGATGCTGCCCATTGATATAAAGGAGGCATTCTCATGTAAATGAAGAACCAATTTAATATTTTCTCATAAAAATGTTATCATTTTACCTATAACACATAGGAATTTTGTCTTCACCTAATGAAAAGAAATTGTTCTAGTTTGCCCATTATTAATCTGATCTTGTGTCTCACTCATGGGCATTTCATACTTTGCTTACTGATTTTTTTGGGAGGGGGGTTCTTTTGTGAGGGTGGGGCTGGGACAAGTTAATTAAGCAGGAAGAATTAATACTGGGAAGAAGAATATAAGACAAAATTGTCCAGTGCAGTTCCTAATGTGCCTGTCACAGATACTGGTTTGTAAGAAAAACCCTTTATGGGAATATTTAAAAAGCAACAAATGGTCTAGTTGTAAGAATGAAACAGTAGAAATAATATTCTGTTTAGTTGTAAACAAGCATGGATTAATTGTTATATTTGTCCCATTGTTTAGGAAATAGATGAAGAAATAACAGTTGGAAATAACAGTTGGAAACGTAATTTAAATTAATGATTTAGAGCTTTGTGGACCACTTTGTGTGAAGGATGTGCTCTAGAAGTGGGGTTTAAATTTTTTAACATAAATTTAAATACTTTCTTTACTGATTTAAACAATTGATTAATCATTCTGTATCAGTTCATCTTGTTTCAGATTAAACTTAGTTTTTATCTTGTGTTCCTTTTTGTGTAGGAAATGATACCACCTGGTTCTCACACTGGCTTTTCTGGGTTGCATTTGCCTTTTGTTGGTTTTACCTACACAACTGAAAGGTAAGTGAAAAAGTTACCAGGTGCAGCAATATGGAAAAATACAATATTCCCTTTTTCCACATTTGGTTTTCTAGTCAAGAAATGTATTGGATGGCACCTCAAAATGCTTACCACATTTTGAGTGTTTGTTTGGCTTTGTTTCTTGTAATGTATTTATTGTGTACCATCACTATGCAGTGGTGCTTTACAGAGTGATATAAGCAAAATGTGGCAGGTATTCTGCCAAAGGAACTTGCAGTCTGAAATCCCTGAGGAAGATGCAGGGGAGAGGCCAGGTAACTGGGCTGATACACACAAATGCAGTTGTGTGCAACCCTTCAAGATAGATGGTGCAACCCTTCAAGCCACTGTCTGGTCTCTGGGCTATTGGATGTTTCAGTGAACTTCATGGCCGATTGGGATGGAACCCATCTCTCCCAGGTGCCCAGTCCAACACTCTAACCACCACACCACACTGGCTTGCTGAACTGGAAGTTGTTACTGCTGACGGGTTTGCTTGTATAGGCAAGAGTGCGAGAAGCAAATTGCGCCTTATTGTAAGCATTTTACTTGCCAGGCAGCATCAGAGTGGTAATAGGTTAGAATCTCTGTTACACAATTTTAGCAATTATTCCCAAACATCGCATTTTTCTGAATTTCCCACTGGAGACTGTTTAGGGTTGATCTTGTTGATTAAAATGTGCATTTTGATATTCTTGGATTC